GAAATTCTTTTCATCTTTACCATAGGGTCTCTCTGCATGCCTGTAATGTCCAGACCCCTCTTCGCCTGAGAGAAATCCCTTTAATCTCTCCCAAGATTCTCTCAATTCTGTCCTGGACCTGTGCTGACATTCAAGTGGAGGAGAAGGACGCTTGTTCCGTGTACCAATTTTTAACTGCTGATTTCACTGGACATTTCCACAGCTAATGACTGCAGTCTAAAAGCAGGCCTAAGCTTAGTTCAGATGCACTCCAGGAGAGAGAGGAGAATGGCAATGTGTGTTAGAAACCTGTTACTTCTGTCAAATCATAAGTTACCATGTTCTGCCATATATGAGCTGAGGCAGGCACAGGAAGAGGTTGCCTAAGCTAAATGCTCCCATTGAGCTTAAAGAAACAGAAGGGAGTGGTAGTGTAAGCCTATAATCCCAGCTCTCAGGATGCTGAGGCAGGAGGTTTGCCCTGAGTTCTAGTTAAGCCTGGGCTGCCTGGTTGGACCACCTTAGGAAAGAAGAGGGACGGGGAGGAAGAGAAGGGAGAGGGACAGAGAAACAGAGAACAAACCTACCAGGGAGAACATTTTCTCTCTTGATACAGTAGCATCAAAGAGCACCACATAAAGTTTCCATATAAAGCTTTAGGACCACCCTTCACTGTTTGGTGCAAGATCTTTCTAAAACATAGTTGTCCCGCTTTAAAAAAAAAAAAAAATAGAGAGAGTTGGAGAGATAACTCTGTGGTTAAGAGCACTTACTGCTCTTGCAGAGTATACATGTTCAGTTCCAGTTTCTACATTAGGTGGCTCACAATAGCCTATAGCTCCAGTGCAGGGTATCTGATACCCCCTGGCCTCCACAGGCACCTGCATGCATATGATGTATGTAAACTCACACAGGCAAATGCATATACATAAATACAAAATAAATCATTTAGAAATTGATTTCTCTCTGTGTGTCTCTCTCTATCTCTCTATCTCTGTCTCTGTCTCTCTCTCTCTCTCTCTCTCTCTGTGTGTGTGTGTGTGTGTATGTATGTGTGTGTGTGTGTGTGTGTGTGTTGAACATGTGGAAGTCAGAAGACAATTTGCAGGAATTGGTTCTCTCTTTCCACCATGAAGGTCACAAGGCTAGGATTCAGATCCTCAGTCTTGGTGGCTAGCGTCTTTACCTGATGAGCTATCTCACCAGCCCTAATTCTGCTTTTCAAGAATACCAAAAACAGCCAGGCAGTGGTGGCACATACCTTTAATCCCAGCACTCGGGAGGCAGAGACAAGTGGATCTCTGTGAGTTTGAGGCCAGCCTGGTCTACAGAGTAAGTTCCAGGACAGGCTCCAAAGCTATACAGAGAAACCCTGTCTCAAAAAAA